AGAGGGGGCTTACCGGGGCCGCCGTTACCGCTGCCTGCCTGCACTGCGAGACCGGGGAGGTGAGTATTACACACAGTTAACTCGCGGGAGCAGAGTTAAAAACCCTTACTGGCGCAATCGGCGTTACACAGAATATGAGGGCGTTTACGAACTCAGCGAGTTGACTCTGGGTTTGTGCGTGTTCACATAAGCGCCCCCACCCCCTGGCAAATGTGATCTGCTAAATATCTAACTAAATATCGGTATCAGGATGAGAACATTCCATCTCATTTACGGGACTGAAAAGAAATTCAGTGGCGTCACCCATATCCTACCATTTAGTGATCCGACGGCTATGTTTTTTGGCAAAGGATCAGTTTTTGGTGAAAGGGCCCGTTATGCTCCCAGCAGGTTGGGCATGCAGCGTAAATGACCATGACTACATACCCCGTTTAAAAATTAGCAAGGACTGTGCGTGAGGTTCGCAAAACTCTGAAGCAACGCTACATTCCATTAGAACTCGGAAGTAAAAAATTCCGAGTTTCTACATGGAAATTTCGACAAACAACCCCGAAGTCAGAATCCTGACTCAGTCGGCGGAACCTCTGCAACCCCAACCTCAGATTTCAAGATGGCAGCAGAAGTGAAAGGTGTGGTTATATTCTGTTTATTAGCACTTATGTTTTATTTGTCATTAAATTGGCCGTAGACACAGTAGCGTCCAACTGCTATCTGCGGACATACCGCTACCTTGTTTGTATGCGCGAAATACCGCTTAACGCATCATCAACGGATATCGCTAACAATGGCTAAAATTAACCGGGCTAGAAGTGGGGCCTGTTTCAGTAAGCAGGATCTCTCGCTTAGCCAGATTTGTCAGATTTAAGGTAGTCTGGGTTAAATGCAGTTGAATGAAGGCCATTTAACCTGAGGCACCTTAAACCCGACAAGAAGTCCTGCTTTTTGAAACAGGTTTCTGGTATTGCTAAATGGCTTTCTGACTCGCTGTACTGGAACGCGGTTCACTCGGGTGTGACGTCATTCCCAGTTCGGACTTCCGACCTCCGATGGTAAATGGAACGCAGCATTAGCCTCAAGAATCCTGCCTGAGCCAGTAGCACAGTCTCCCGGTTCACCCACCCAACAGCAATATGACAGGCGATGGAAGCACCAAGGGGGAGGGATAATTCCATGTTCCAGCTGGGCTGTGGTGATCACTGCAGTCGTATTATTCATGACAGACAGCGACATTTACTGCTGCTCAAACAACACGTTTACGTGCCCCCCCCCCCCCCAATGTTTGAGGTCCCCTGTTGGCCACAAATAGTTATTGTGGAGCAAGCTTAAGTATCTTTTTGAGTGAGGTCCCAGACACGTGCGAAAAATTGTGGAGCTGGGGGAGCGGTTTTTTTGCAAGAGACCAGCGGATGTCACCACACCACTCAGGCCAAACGCAGTCCCAGAATCCCACCAGGCCGACGCGTACAAGCAGCGGGTAGACAGACGCGTGGCCTGGCAGCGGCACCGTGAAGGGCAGAAAAGTGTGGCTTTTGTAACAGGGTGTTTAGGCGGTCATGTGGGTCCCCGGGGACGGCGCGGTGCCAAACAGGCCACAGGGACGAAACCCAAACTGGCGACTCCAGCACCCCCTGCGGAGCCGGCGTTTCGCTACGTCACCTCATGGAAAAGCCCCCGGTCTCCACCAAGAGAGTCAGCTGTGTTTTGGAGAAATGGCAATAATCCAAGGGTCCGAAAACAGAAAGAGGGACTATCCTTGGTAGTGAAGAAAAAAAAAAAACACACACAAATGGGACTGGGAGTCAAAATGTACCTTTTGTATTTTGTACGCACATGTATTTAAATTCTTCACGGCAAAATATAAATCTTGGCTTTCCGGAGTCGACAAATTACGGGCACCTATAGGGAGAGCTTCTGGTCAACTGCTGACTGGTTACGGTACAGAGAACATGGATGAGACCGCTGAGGGTCCTGACCAGGACAGAGATTGTGTCACTTGGCAACAGAAACTGGCCAGAGCTGGAACTTGCAGAAATGGAGGGTGGAAAAGTAAGGGGGAAATGAGGGGTGGCTGACAGAAAGCAGGCATTTTACCCATAACACCTTGGAAGATCAGAGGAACACCACGAGAGCTGGATGACTAGACCAGATTCATGCCGTAACCTACACACAAATCACAGGCTTTAATACACACGTCCCCCCGCTCCCCCCCCAATCCTGCCAAGGGGCTTTCCTGGCCGATTACAGCATGAGCTGGATAGCTTCACACCCACTCTCCCCCCACCGAACCCTCACACATGCAGTACGGGGGGGAAACAGCCGACGTGGAGGCAGGGTAGTTACATGCCAGAAGGGAAGATTACCAGGTCCTAGACGCGTTTACCGTGTACTATTTAGCTGAAATGATACGAATTCACAGTTAATAAGCCGTGCAAGTGCTAACGTCAATGCCAGACTGGGAATAATAAAAACAGAGATCCACAGACAAAAGATTATGCTCAGAATGTCATCAAGCCGCAGCTCACTTGCATCTGTGCCAGAGAATGGTGACAGTTAGAAGGGTGAAGGAGTTCAGTTCTCAAGCCGTCCTTCACTGGGACTCGGCAAGCCTCATTTAGAGGGCCCTGTCCTGGACGTATATTCAAGCTAAACAGGGCCAGAATACATGGCTACGGCGGCCATGATGAGCCCGGAGGTGCATCGTTCACTGTGTTCCACACTGTAGTCCTTGTTCGTGCTTTAAAACAAGAGCAAAAACTAGCAATCTCAGTTTATTAATAGTTTATTGCTCTTGTGGATTCAATTTAATCCGCTTGTTATGTCAGGCACCTGGATATCTCGAGGCTGTGAAACGTCCCCTGCTTTCATTACAAACAACAAATCTTAGACGCACACAGATGTGTTCAGTACACATCTTAAAAGAGGAACTGAAATATTAAAATCGAGAGAGGTCTTCCTGCAGCTGACTCTGAGAAGGGTCGAGATGCATATTTAAAAGCTGCCAGAAAAAGGCAGTTTTGTTCGACACAACAAGACAAAAGGATGAGAGA